GTTGCCATAATCATTTCCAAAACATTTTCTCTCTACTTGAGTCCTTGGTATCAGCTCTTCATTTCTCCCCTCCCTCCCTTGTGAACCCTTGATAATTTATAAATTATTTTTATTTTCATATTTTACACCATCCTCTGTCTTCCAGCACCCACATTTATGTTGTTCATCCCCCCAGAGCAGCGGGGAAGTTGTACACCAATCATTGTGCTCTGTTGCCCTTTTCTCCCCTTTCTTACCCCACCTTACCCCTACCCACATGGTATCACTACTCTCATTATTGGTCCTGGGGGGGTTATCTGTCCTGGATTCCATGTGTTAAAGCTGTTATTTGTACCAGTGCTCTGGTCTAGCCAGATTTGTAAGATAGAACTGGGATCATGATAGTGGAGGGGAGGAAGCACTAAAGAACTAGAGGAATGCTGTGTGTTTCGTCGGTGCTATACTGCACCACAGAATTTTAAGGGACAGTCTGCATTAATGAGGGTAAGACCTTTGAGCAGCGATCATGAGAATGCTGACAATATGTGCAGCATGGACCACTGTAACAATTGCTGAATGATGTTTTGTGGTATTTTGTGGTGTTTACTTTCACACATGTGCACACACAGCCACCTAGATTGGTTTGCACGAGGAGTATTGCCAACCACAAGAAGTATAGTTTGGATGAAGTTTCTTTATTTATTCTAAAGCTAAGATTCCTTCCAGTGCTGAGTGTCTAGGATTATGTACAGAATTTTGCTCATTTCTCAAGCAAATGATCCGACGTGTGCAATTCCACACTGACATGACAGTTCTCTAACTTGAATGGACAGGAGATAGTGTTTGTTTTCAGAACTTATTTCTGCACTTGAGCTTGGATACTGAAATCAGTGGAGAGAAAAAAAAGCATGTCATTTTTCTCTCCAGGTTTCCTCATCAATGATTCAAATAATGGAGACTAATAATAAAATTGGTTCCTCTCGATTATCTATTTAAAAAGTAACCATCCTGGTTTTATTTTGTAAGACGATAATGCTTGTGACTGTTGTGTTTGTCCCCAGGAAAATCTCTTTTTTGTGATGGAGTATCTCAACGGCGGAGACTTGATGTACCACATTCAGATCTGCCACAAGTTTGATCTCTGCCGAGCAACGTAAGAGCCCATGGCTGGGATTTCCCATTGTTCTTGTCACTGACTGGGTTTCTCGGGGGTTCCCCGCTCAGTATGCCTAAGTCCCAGGGCAAGGTGTTTGAACTCCTGGGATTGTATCAAACAAGGCAACCCACTTTGTGAAACTTAAAGTCCTGTCAGGTTAGCTGTATCTCTGCATGTTTTGAAACAAACCACTTACCTTCTGAAGAAAGTCACCCCCGGTTCATCAGAATTGCAGTCACTCGTAGGTCTCGATCATTGGAACTCGAAAGCAAACGTGTGTCTTTGGAAAAGAGCACCTTTAGGTGGCCACCGGAGACAGCTTCCAGCAAAGGAGTTGAGTGGGCAGCTCCCCATGAAGGCATAAAGTAATCGGCTCAAAGGGCGTGTGAATTAGGAACCAAGAAGAGGCTCTTCTGTCTTTGAGAATAAATCGACACCTTTGGCATCAAGCAACCACGGAGGCGAGGGAGAGAAGAGCAGTCATTTTCCAGCTGGGACTGCGTTCCCACCATGCCTGCTGCGCCCCCTGCCTGAGACTGTGCATCGTTCCGCCCTCTGGATCCTGGGTGCTGTGAGCAGTCAAGCCACTGTAAATTCCAGCAAAAAAAAAACGGTGCACCCAGTGTGGTTTTCAGCGACGGGTACAGATGGGCTTGCGTTGCCAGGTGCTCAGTCATCTCTCACTCACCTCTGAGCGAGTGAGGAACTCACCTTTGAGATGAACTGGGTTTGAAGATGGGCTCATTCCACCAGCTCCTACAAGCGCGCTGGCTGGAGTTGCCGTGTCCAACCCACTGGGTAGCGTTCGCTGCTCCTGCTGCCTCTGGGCACCAGCAGGCAAGGGCCCAGAGAGCATTTTGCCAGATTTCTGCAGCGGAGAAAGAAGCAGGCGATGTTCACAGCAGGAAGAACTCAGCCCCCCACCCTGCATTGCTATGTAAGGCGGTGAGGCCAACTTAGAAACTGGCTACCTTTTGTGTCCCAGCGCCTTCCAGGGAGGAGGCAGTTTGGTGTTCTCGTGAGAGAGCCAATCCATATCTCTCCCAAGAGATTCTCCCTTATCACCTACCTTAATCCCACGCCTGGGCATCGACACTCATTTCCTTTTTAGGCGTCGTCCTTGAAGAGGAAGGGTAACATCACTGTCCATCTCCTAATATCCTCTCCTCGCCTCCAAGGTTGCGTTTCCAGTCCAGGCTAGATTGGATCAGCTGAAAATAGACAAGCCTGGGGTCTGTTTAGAATAGCCCTGAATATAGATAGCCACATGGGCTCCAGACAAAACTGAAAAAGGAAAAACAATGTATATTTCGGTCTATTAAGAGCCCTGTCATTTCCAATATAAGAAGCAGCGCTAGATTCACATGGAACTGACAGAGGATACCAGCTCTGCTCGGGACATACCATTCAGGGCTGCGAGGATAGATGTGTCTGAACCGCAATTCCTTTGGCTTCTTTCTTTGTTTTATTCTGTTCTCGGTCTCTTGCGTGGGACACAGAACACTGACCATGTCGACAATGCCCCCATGTACGGTTCAGTCACATTGATGATATCAACCATCACCAGGATCATTCCCAAGTTTCCCATAACCCGTAACAGAAACTAATGTCTCCTGATCAGAGGGTCTTCCTTCCCCGTCTCTCCCATCAGTCTTCTCCTGTCTGAAGTGGACGGCGTCATTGCATTTTAGGACTGAACCAAACAATGGGTGGAGGCCATTGATCCGAGCACCTCAGGACATCAAATGGGCAACGCGGTTCGAGGGGGCGGGGGTCTGTTTTATCTTTCTGGTGTATTTATAGTGAACCTTGATTCTCCTTCCTCTAGGTTTTATGCTGCTGAAATTATTCTGGGTCTGCAGTTCCTTCATTCCAAAGGAATCGTCTACAGGTAAATGTTGCCTCTTAGAAAATGGACGTCAAGACAGTGAGATTTCCTGGTTCGGTTAATTTCACTGCTATACTGTACTGATGTGAAATAATAGCTGGGATGCTGCTGTGACCAAAAGTTCCATCCCATAGGGACAGCGTGGATGATGCATTAGAAACAGACTGTCTTTTCTTCTGCCTCGTTCTGAGGCTCCCTTTCCCACCCCTGTTGGCACTCCCTCCCATTCTTCCACTTTCCCTTTCCTGTCAGACACTTGCTTTCCATCTCCTCCCTAACTGTTGACCTCGTCACACAGACCTCTGCTTGCTTGTCGTTGCTTTGGGTCACCTAGAAATACACACACGTTTCTGTGTATGTGCGTGTCCTGGTCTTAGAATGATTAGATGGAGGATTCACCCTCTCCTGGTAAGACCTCACTAATCTAGAAATATATCCAGAGAGCCTTGCGACCACATGATAAGGACCACAAAGTCAATACATATGGTGGGGCAGGGGGACAGTTCAGGGACGTTTCCATCCTAACAAGATATGTCTTGAGCGTCCATCCGAAATGCCTGGTCTGACACCTTGCAGAAGCCCACAGGACACTCTGTGAGCCTCTTCCCTGCTTGGAAGGGTGTGTACCCACAATTTCTGGGTTGTGCAGTCTCGGGTATCATCGCCCATCTTTTGTCACAGCCCTCCAGGAAAGCTCTCAGGTCCCCTCCCTTCCCGTTCTCAAAACAGTGTTGACCTGTATTGAATAGACACGTCTATAAAAAGCTTACACGAGCGGTTTCCAGCCCACCACAGAGTAGCGGGGGTGACAGAGAAACAGAAGCTGGCTGGCAGAGATGCTGGAGACCAGGACAGCCACTGCACTGAGAAGTGACAGCTGACACGTTGATATAAAGGGAAGAGGCCAAGCAGCTAAGAGGCTCGGGGAGCGCGAGATTAGGAGCTCTTTCGTGGCCGATGGTCCCAATAATGGAAGTGGAGTCGGGCAGAGGTTGAATCGTGCTCCACCCCAATTGCCTAAGACAGCCCCATTGTGCACTGCACGGAAGGCCTTCCGGCAGAGATGGCTCCTGTTTAAGCTTTGGTGCTGAAGGGTCCAGCAAAGTCACTTGAGGGAGGAGCGTCTCAGCCTTTCAGAGGCGGCAGCCAGACCGGGGCTTCCCTGTCGAGACTCTGAGAGCGAAAGGCAGAAAGACGTTTTCTGGAACTGCAGGATTTGGGATACACGGCTGAGATACTGATTGGGGCTTTAACCTCCAGCATGGTGATAAAGTAAATATCAGTTCCTTAAGGCCACTCGCCAGTGGCATTCGTGTTACTGCAGCTCTGGGTAACAAAGTCATCATGTTATACCATTTTGTTTGTTTGTTTGTCTAATTTTTCAGGAACTTGAGACATTCCCAACAGAGCATTACTTGAGAACCTGCTGAGGATCCGTGTTTTCTTCCCTTTATAGCTGGGTATGCTGACCAAGCAGCTAAAACTCACTAGTACCCAGGGACTCAGTGGACTGCGAGAGAAGGGTGGAGGAATGGATGGATAGATGGATAGAGAAAGAGGAAGGAAAATAGAAAAGTTTGAGAGAACACTATTTGAGCTGGAAAGGCCCTGACCGCATGTCCCAATGCAGTCTCCTTCTCCCTACCAGAGAGCCTCCACTCACTATTCATCTTCTAAGTCAAGGACTCGAACCACAAACCAGGACCAATAAAGGCCCATCCATTCTCTCCAAAATCACTGTCGAGTCGATTCTGACTCCGAGTGACCTGACAGGACAGGGTAGAACTACCCTAGTAGGTTTCCAGGATTGTAACTTTTTACAGGGGTAGAAAGCCTCATCTTTCTCCTATAGAGTGATTGGGGAAATGCAAGCCCTGCATTTATTGATTCGATACATATTTACTGAATGCTCAGTACATGCCACACCCTTGTTAGAATAGTCACAGTACTGCAGACGGAGCACCATCCGCTTCTCCCTCCTCTTACAGCTTGGTGGTGAACAAGGGAGAGAGACAAATGATGATGGCAGCTTAAACAGAGATGAATGTCTTCTTCATCAGGACTGACTCCTGCTAAGGAACAAGGCGCCCTGGCAGTGCAAAGGCCATTGGTACGAACCCACCAGCAACTCTGCTAGAGAAAGGTGGGCCAGTCTGCTTCGGTAAAGAGTAGAGACTTAGCGAGCATAAGGGGCAGTTCGACTCTGCCCTGTGAGGCCACGACCGTCAGAAGCAACTCAATGACACTGGGTTTGACCGTGAAACCAGTCAAACGTTTTCTTAAGCACAAGCCAGGCCTCACTAAGAAAGCAGAGGCAAGAACTGCTGCCCATCAGAAACAAAGGTAGTTTCTTCTTTGTCATCCCATAGAAGTCCTAGTGATGCAGTGGTTAAAAAACGCGGCTGCTAACCAAAAGGCCATTGGTTCGAACCCACCAGCCCTTCTGCAGGAGAAGAATGAGGTAGTTGCTTCTAGAAAGGTTTACGGTCCCGGCAACTCTATAGAGCCGTTCTACTCTGTCCTACGGGGTTGGTGTGAGCCAGAATCTACTTAATGGAAGTGGGTTTTCTAACTCTATTGACACTGGGAAATAGATGAGCTATCAACAGACTTTAACCTCTTTGGTTCTTTCTGTGTTAACATGCTCTCTTACTGCTGCTCTTGAAAGAGCTCCTTCACTTCTCTCTCCTTTTGACAAGCCAGTGGACGTCTCCAAGATGCAAAGGGAGAAGCCATAATAAGCAGGCAGCCCTGATATTGTCCCAATCTAGTCACCTAACAGAGTCGGGCACCCCCCGGGTGAGAAAAGGGGGGGAAAGTTAATGATACAGCTTGAGCTCTGGTCCGGTCGGTTGAGGACAAGGGGCCCTGGATACTGGCCATGCTCTTTCAGGGCAGAATCCTTGAGCAAATCCCCTGAGAAGAGGTTCAGGACAGAGAGGCACAGTTGTTAGTCCTGCTCCACACCAGCTCATCTCAGAGGAGTGCAGGGCATGGCAGCCATCACCACTGCATCACGTGGGCTTAGAGAGGAGAGTTCACAGAGTTCAAAAGGCCAGGGACAGGCGACCGAGGGGGTGAGAAGCTGGGGATAGGGTGACAAACTAGAATTCAGGGAAGCCGCTCGCTAAAACCAAGCAAATTCAAGTGTAAAGAAACTGATGTTAACGGTAGCACCTGGACTCCTTTTTGAACTTCCGTTTCACAGATAGAAGATGAGAAGACACTGGTATAAAAAGAATCTTTTTTTAACCCCTAGAAATCTGGGTTGACCAAAAGCTCTTTATCAGTCTTGATGCTGCTGATGGAGCCCCTGAAACAACTACTGTGGTATTTTCAACCACCGTCATAAAGGCCAGAGAATCAGAGGCTCAACGTGCTGCCACGAGTGACACCAATTATGTCTGTAGAGGACATTGGTCCCTTTAGGTGATGTATAAATTCTACATTATGTACTCCACCAGGTTATGTATGGAGAGGACATAGGTTCCATTCTAAACAACCCCCCCCCCACCCTAGTTTAAGATGAAAATGGGTAAATGGGAGCTATTTGAAAGGGAGTGAGTGGTTGTTGAAGGGGCTAGAAGCCATGTCATATGAGGAGCAAATTTCTCAAACTTAGCAAAGGAAAGACAAGGGGAAGTCTCATGTGGCTCTTCAAATATGCA